CCTGCTGAATGAGCCAGGCATCCCACAAGGTGGTCCGAATGGGGACAAACAGGAGACCAAGAAGTTGCTCCTCTTGCCCCACCCCTGTGTCCTGAAGGCTGCACACGTCCCTCCTCAAGCCCTTCCTAGCACAGGCCCCACTAGGAGGTTAGAAGCTAACGGGACTGGACACAGAAGGCCCACGTGGCTGGAAAAGGGGGGAGGACAAAATGGCAGAGAGGTAAGAAGCGGGAGGGGGAGAGAGGAGACAGGAAAGAGGAAAGGGCCAAGCTGGCTGAAACCAGCGGGGCAGCAAGGCCCAGCAGAGGCCACCCTGCTTCCTGGCAGCGTCTGCCTGTGACCTCATGGCAGGGGCGTGGGGACAGGGAGGCAGGAGGGAGAGGGGCACGCAAGACACTGGAGTCTTTGTTTATTTGATTAGAGGGAAAAAAAGGCGGCCTCTGGACCAGACAGCCGGGGTCATGTGACCTCCCGGCCAGCCTGCAGCCTCCCTGAGGAGGGGAACACCCAGGGCGATAGGAAAGGAGAGAGGATGCTGGGGGGGGCAGGGGGGGCGGGGCCGTCTACCATCTGGCCTTTGGAGAGCGCCCACTCTCTGTGTGAGCTCCTGGGTGCTGAGGGTCAGGGGCCCCTGAGCCGGAACCAGGGTGGGCTGCGCTCCCGCTGCCCAGCAGCCCCCACCAATCACCCCATGGCCCTATCTCCCCAACCCTCGCCCTGCTCCCAGGGTCACCCAGAGCTGACCTGAACTCTTGGCACAATTCAGGGATGAAAGGGAGGGTGCTGGCTGAAGCAGCTGACAATGCAGCTGCACAAACAGGCCTCTTGGAAGGTGACGCCCCCGCCGAGTGGGGCCCGACCCACCTGGTCCACCACCAGATGATTCTCAGAGCCGCGAAAGGAGGTGGCCCACGGAACCGTGCTGGCAGAGGACAGAGAAGCAAGGTCCCCTCCACCTCACATCCACATATGCTCACTAAGGGACACACAAAGACCCAGGCAGCCCCTGGGCCAGGCGAACACTCAGCGGCACATAAAGAGGTGCACACACACATATCAGGCACACAGGCAGACCTTCACATATAGCGCACTCTACACCTTTTCCAAATACACACACACAAATACAGCGCCACTGAGAGGAAGTGGATCTCCAGGACACAGTCGGGATTCCAGGGCCTGAAAGACCAAAATGTGGCTCTCCCCTTCCTCACAGAGCCCTAAGCATCAGAGGTCAATGAAACCTGCCCCTACCCTGGGCCCACCACCACCCCCAGGGTCAGAGCTCCACGGTGGCTCCCTTGCCCCCACCCACCGCCAAGTGGGACGGAGGGTTAGTGAGTAAAGCATCATGGTCTCCTCCAGGGCTCAGAGCTCCGGGGACCACAGAGGACTGGGTTCCTGGCCCTTAAACCTACGAAAGAGACAGAATGGCTTCGGGCAAGCCCAGACGAGGCCCACTCTCCAACCCCCAGCCTCCGTGACTCAGCCCCGCTCTGCGAGGCTCCACATGACATGCAGAGGTTGTGGCAAGGCACGGCCCAGCTGCAGATTGGCGTGAGCTGGCAAGAGGTGCTGTAAATGCCAGCCTCCAATCTGATCTCCCTCCTGACATCTGTGAAACTCCACCACATGTTAACACCCACCCAGACTCCCTGCCAGAGGTGCAGGGGGTGCCAACAGTGAACTTCAACCACACACACAGCATGTCCCGGGCAAGAGACTTCCTCCAGCTTCAGCCAAGAAAGAACAGTGCAAAGGGAGGAAAGCTGGGGGGCTGCACGTCCAAGCACTGAGCCTAGGATGAAAGGTAGGAGAGGTGGCCCACCCAGGAAGGCCTGGGATGAGGGGAGGGTGTGGCCGCCTGACTACATCGGGGTGTCAGAGGCCTGGTGGGGTGAAGGCCTCATCCCCACCTTTCTTGCCTCAGTCCTGGGCCTCCTGGGTACGGGAGATGGCCAAGGGCCCCACCTCCCACAGGTTACTTTCCAACTACAGCCTGGGAAGGAGGCCCCAGGGCCTAGAAGGGGAGAGGGGAGCAGAGCTCTCAGCAGAGCTCTAAATGTGCCTCCTATCAACCAGGGGCTGGGGTGACTTCAAGTTAAAAGCAAGCCAAAGGTCCAACCTGTGGCAGCCCCTGGGTCTGAGCCTCAGCCACATTCAACAGAGAACCTGCGGACTTGCATCCAGAGGCCCAGCCTGTCTTAGAGAGCCTTCCAGGGGTGACCTTCCCCAGCAGACCCTGGCCTGGAGGGAGGTCAGTCAGCAGCAGGCCTAGCCCTACCTTGTTCCCTGGGGACCGCAGCAGGATAAAGCGGTGTTTCCGCTTGAGGAGGGCACGAAGGTCCTGGCACTTCTCATAGCTGCCCAGCTCCACTGTCTCCACACACTTCTGCTCATCCTGGGGAGGAATACACAGGGGACATGGTGAGAGCTAGATGTCCTAGACCCTCAAACACCCAGGCCCCGACCCAGACCCTGATCCCACTCAGTGAGGGCACTGCTTGGTCAGAGGGGGCCCTCGGGCTGCCAATCAACCACCAAGATGCAGCATTCAGACCCTGGCAAGGAGACGGTGTTCAGTCCACGCTGGTTGGAGGGATGCCCTCAAGGCTCACCATCCATATGAGAAATGAGGCTCACAGCCCGAAGGTGGGTAGCAGGGCTGATTCAAATGTGCCTAAGGTCAAAGGAGGAAACGGGGAAGCTAGAAAGGCTTAGGAAAGTGTGCCTGGGGGTCCATGCAGGCCCAGAAGCCAGGCAGAGACCTGTGAAAGAGGTGGTCTGGAAGGAGGAGCAAGTTGTCACAAATGAGGGGAAAAAAAGGCTTTTCAGGCAGAGCCACAGAGAGAAGCGTGAGTAAGGCTGTTTGAGGTTACACAACCTGCCTTCACCACAGTGATCCAGAGTTGACTTCCCCACTTGGCATCTTCCTCTGCTGACCTGTGGCTTGGGGTGAGAGGCCACTCTCCATGGCCTGCACAATGGAGAAGGCAAGGGTTCCTTCTAGAGTAGCCCCTGAGTCTGCCACCATGAGGCCTCATCACTAGTAAGGCTGGTGGCCAGGACAGTGGCCAGCCTCTTCTCGGCCACTCCTGGACACTGGCTGGGCTGCCTTTCTGCCTGCCAGCCCTGGCCCTTGAGTGTTTTCTCCTCATGGGCTCTACCCACCAGGTGCCTCTCCAGCCAGCTGTCTGGGACACCCTCCTCCCTCAGTGTTGGTCAGTTGGTTCCACTTCCAGGGGACACCCAGCTGGAACAGCTTCCTGGGTGTGGCACACTCTCCCCCTGGAGACCCGAGGGAAGTAGATGCAGGCCCTGGAGACTGGCACTCAAGTTAAGCAAATTCCTGCTCTCGGACATCACGCACAGCATCCAACCAGGGACCGCCTCAGTGCTCCACAGTTTGGGGTGGAATATCTGGGAGGCAGTGACTCAATTATTTGCAGAGGAAATGCCCCAATTTCCCTCCATGATAAGTCACATATACTAAGAAACCCAGACACTTAGCGAGCACTTTTGGATCCCTGATTCTCCTGAGTCCCTCAAGCACCCTGAAATCCTAGAGCCCCAGTATTTGTCTCATTTTATAGAGGAAGAGAATGAGACCTGGAGGCGAAGAGATTTGCCCTTGGGCACAGACCCAAATATAAGGAGCAGGGCCAAACGCAAAAACCCATCCTCTGACTCCCAAGCCAGAGCCCTTTGTAGCATACCAGACTCCTTCCAGCCAGAGCCAGAAGCTGGACAGTGCCCTAGCAGCAGGCTGCTCTGCACCAGAGGTCCCCCAGGTGTGGTACCTGGGCCAGCAGCCGCAGCATCACCTGAGGACTTGTTAGAAATGCAAATTCTTTTGAATAAAAAAAATATATATATATATATATATATATATATACCACAAGGACTCAGAGGCAAAAAATATACAAATCAATTTTCACTGCAAAGTAAAGGAGCTGTTACAGTGGAGGATTCCTGGACTGAATGTCAATATTATGACATAGTATGAGTGTGTTTCGTGTTTGGTAATTGCAATCATTGTTGCTTTTGTTGTGGTCATCCATTTACAATGCTTGGTGTCAGTTTATTTATCTCTTGTAAAAATAAAATACAGTGTGTGTGTGTGAAAAAAAAAAAAAGTTAATGCAAAGTGTATCTGGGGACCAGCACTGGTTTGCACATTATTTCCTACATGTCTTCGTCAAGATGTAGTTTAAGTTTTTGTAATCTGTTTTTACCCCTATGTTACGTTTGTTCTAGTTAAATTTATTGAAATATAATTTTCTGTCTGTTAACTCTAATAATAAAAAATTGGATAATTGGAAAAAAAAAAGAAATGCAAATTCTCAAGGCCCATCCCTACTGAATCATAATCTTGGGGAAATGGGCCTGGCAATGTGAGTTTTAACAAGCCCTTATGCAAAAGTTTGCGAACCTCTGCTCTATACCAGAGATTCTCAACCTTGGCGGCACCTGGTAGCTTAAAAAAAAACCCAGTGCCCAGGCAACATCCCAGACCAATTACATCAGGATCCCTGGGGGATCAGTATTTTTCAATACTGACATCAGTACTTTTCAAAGCAGATGATTGTACAGCTAAGGTGAGTAACCACTGACCTACTCTCTCTTCAGCCTTTCAGGGAAAGGAGAACAGGTGGCCAGGGTGGCCTGATCTTTCCCATCTAGATTCAAACAGGTGTCTTTTCCCATTTTTGCCTCCACGCACCTCTTTCCAATCCTTAGTCTCCAGTCCCTTCCAGGTTCCTGCACTCTACACAAGGGCTGGTAAAATCCACCTGCTCCAGGAAGCTGCCCTGCTCACCTGCAAGAGCCTAAGCCTCAGTGCTCTCTCCCTCCTCTAAGGGTCCCCATCAGAGGGCACTTCTGCAGGCATCTTACTAGGTGCTAGGGACACCCTGTCATGGGGAAGAGTGGTCCTAACTCCCTGCTGAGCCATCTCTCTCTACCCTCTGCTGCATGTGTCTGCTCTCCTTTCTGTTCCCCCTACAGCACCTAACAAGGGGCAGCCCTCAAGAGGAAAAGTTCACTGAACTGAATGCCTGACTCAGAGTGAGACTCCAGAAAGGATGTCCCCCCGACCCCCATCCCAGAGAGAGAGGCTCACCTACCCCATGGGCACAGGCCTCCCCCGACTAGGCAGCTACTGGCCCAAACATACCCTCCTCTGTCTGGAAACAAAAGTCACTCCATCTCCACCACCCAGCTCCCCACGGCTGCCTGACCTGGGTCTCCTCTCAACCTAAAACGCTGAATCATCCGGCCCTTCTGCATCTCAGAAAAGTCGGATAAACCAGCAGGCACTGGGCGGGGGCAGCATTTTTGGAATGTCAGCCTCACTGACAGCAAAGAAACAGCCAAGAGTCATTCACACTCGCCTAGTTCCTTACATCAGAAAGAGGAATTGAACTAGTAAGCATTTCTCAACTCCTTCTCCTGTGCCAAGCTCCCCCACCCCCAAGTGCTAAGTTCTTAAAACTGCCCTGAGGTTTTTAATAGTGATTTTTTTTTTAAAAAAGCATGATTAGACTCTTTTGTGTTTAGGGGATATGAAATCTTTCCTGCTTCCCAGACGTGGGCCAGATGTAGAGAGGTGACCCAGGACAAGTCTGGTAGCGCCTGACGGGCTGACAGCTGGGGGGCCTGTCACTGAACTCTTAATGGCAGCTGGGACTGGAGGAAGCTGCAACAGCCCCCTTTATTTATAAAAATAGCCCCCTGCTGCCACCACAGCACATCCTAATTTGGGGACAGCAGCAGTAGAGAACATCTGGGGAGCTGTCTGCACCATTCACCCCCTTGGCCTCCTCCGGCTGCTTCTCTGACACCCCAACTCCATGAGCCTGGGGACTTGGTCAGGAAAGGTGAGATGCTTCTCAAAGGCAGCTCCTTTGAACACCTAGATCTTTCTTGGTCTGCGACAGTTATGAATTTGCCAAGACAGCCTGAGGCACGCTGACAGAGGCTGATGGGGAACAGGCAGGATCCCCCTTCCTCTGCCCCCAGGCCAGTTCTTCCCCGTGTACTCCGTCTGTCAGAGTCATACAGTAATAGCCCAGTTGCAGTAGACAGGCCCTCTGAGAGCCTCAACCCCAGAACATAAACAGCATCTCTAAGTAAAGGCCACCTTTTCGCCTCAGGTCTTCACCCAGAACTTTATTGACACTTATTTAACACACAACTTCCACATCCTGGGTTGTCCAAGTTCCAAACCTGCTGAAATGAAAAGGGGCACAAGTCTGAAGTGGGAAGATATGAGGACTGTGAGAGGCACAAGGATGGCAAAAGTGGCAACTGGCAGCTTGATGTTAGAGGAGAATGCAAAGCTGAAAAGTACAGTCTGGCAGTACGGAACAGCCTGATCATCAGTGACTCTGAGCCACCAAGGAAAAACTCCGTTTAGGCCAGTACCTTCTGTTGAAGGGCAGACAATATCCAACGTATTTTAGAGAACTTCTACCAAGAATAAGTTTTAGAGTTTACTTGCTGACATAGCTGGGTGGAGAGATCCCTGACTTTGGTTCTAGACCTGACCTTCATTCACTGAGATGCTGTAGAATGTGACGTGATGACCACTCTTTTTTTTTTTTTTTTTTAATATTTATTTATTTATTTGGCTGTGCCAGATCTCAGTTGAGGCATGCAGGATCTTCGTTGCCGTGTGCAGGATCTTTAGTTGCGGCATGTGGGCTCTTAGTTGCGGCATGTGAGATCTAGTTCCCTGACCAGGGTTTGAACCCGGGCCCCCTGCATTGGGAGCACGGAGTCTTAACCACTGGACCACCAGGGAAGTCCCCATGATGACCACTCTTAAGGGACTATTGTGAGCATCCTCCAAGAGGTATGTAAGACCTCCAAACAAGCATGAGCAATAAGTATTATTTCTACTATCATTACTGAGTGGAGCAAGCTTCAGTTTTCTGGAAACTTCACAGATGTGGAACCTAGCCCCAGAACAGGGAGCTGTAGTGTAGGTGGACAGCTGAGGAGACACACACATCACTGTGCACATATGCTTCAAAGAGCCCCTCATCCAGGAGTCCTACACTCGCACCTAGAGGTATCGTCCTTGTACCACACCGACCCAGAGAAGACCAGGCAATCGCCCAAGGTTGCACAGCGGGTCAAAAGCAAAGCAGGCCTTCCAGTCCGGGTGCTGGAATCCTCTTGTGGCCTGGGCTGCCCTCTCTTTGCTCCCTGACCCGGCACCCCCAAACTCAGGACCAGGCAGGTCCTTACCTCGTTCTCGTAGACCAGCAGCTGGGCCTGGCAGAGGAGCAGGTAGCGGTCTTTCCAGAGGCCCAGGAAGCCCCCGCTGCTCTTCTTGATCCAGCCAGCCTTGTCCGCTGTCTGCGCTCCCCGAGGCTTCTGGCCCCCCTCCTTCACGCCCTGTAACACAGCATCCGGACACGCCATGAGGGTTGCTGCCGTGAGGCCACACAGGGATGTGTCCCTCTGCTGGATACCTACTGATATCACCCCATTTGAGCTTCTCCACAACCCCTGAGGCAGATATTCTCAATCCAATATCAGAAATAACAGTTAATAACAGCAGCCACAACAATAACAGCTGCAGTCACCTTATACTGAACCACTGCATTATGTTTTACCCAAACTGTCTCATTTAACCCATGGACTACCCTCCCAGGTGGTAGCATCATTATCCACATGTCACAGCAGACTGAAGCTCCGAGAGGGGAGGTGACTCGCCAGAGTCACACCGCTGGAAGGACAAAACCAGAATTCAAACTGGGTCTCTCTAACCCCATGTTCTCCCCTCCACCATTCTGCCTCCCATGTATTCATTCAACCTCGTCAACACACGCTGTACTGAGCACCTACAATGTCATGGATGCTGGAGTAGGCAGGGAAGAATAAAAAGAACACATCTTTGCCCTCATGGAGCTGGCAATGCGGGGAAGGAGGAGCTGAACAAATAAACACCAGACATAAATACATTAACAAACATGAAATGCTATGAAGGAATCAGTGAAGGGGAAGTGAAGAGGAGGGAGCGCGAGAGGACAGCAGGGGACCTAGCTCAGGTCCACGTGGCTCAGAAGGCCTCCCAGAGGAAAGGACGTTCACGCAGGATCCGAAGGATGGGAGGAGGCAGGCAGGCAGAGTGGTAATCTTCCTCCCTACCCTTGCCCTTCTAAAAAGGCCACTCTGCGGCCCCTGCATCCTACCCCAAAGCAGGAGGTTCCACTGCCCTCATCCCTGCCCCAGGCCAGGACTTTAGGGTAGCCACCTTGTCTGGCGAGGGCTCCAAGGACACTGCCTTCGACCACAGGCAGGTACAGGAGGTAAACTCAAACCCTTCTCTAGGACATGGCAGCCACCCTGGAGTCTCCAGGCCAGTCACTGACATCTTGTGCCTCTTGATTACCTGCTTGAGTAGCTGGGCGCCAGGTATATGCCTACCAGATGGGGTCGAATTCACATTTGGTCCCCAGAACCCAGTACCGTTCCTTTACACATAATGGGCGCTCAAGAAATATCTGTGAAATGAAAATAAAAATACACCCAATTTGCTAACCACTTTGCTTCAATGACTGGTACCCACAGTGGTGAGTGTGAAGGGGAGAGTGCAGGAGAAGGGGGCTAAGAGCATGTCAGAATCTACAGGATGCTAGAAGGAAATCAGCACTGACTAATTCTGACTGCTTTATAATTTACATAAAGCTTAAAAATGGGGCTCCAGTTAAAAGGAGCATACCTCTCCCCAGGGATACCCTGTGGCCACAGCTGCCTTTGGAAGGACAAGTCCAGACAGAAGTGTGGTGGGCTGTCAGGGGCTGGATAGGGAATGGCCTCCCTGTGCTCCATCATGGCAGGGAATCCCCAGTCTGGTTCTTACTGTGGCCCCGTCCCGCTCTGAACTGCATACTCCAGTGGTCAGGAGTCTGAGCTCTGAAGCCCAAGTCACGCAGACCAGAAGCAGGTCATTTGGTCTCTCTAAGCTTCAGTTCCTTCATCTGTGAAATGATGATATTAACAGAAGTTGCAAGGATTATAACTCTGTGAGGACAGCAGTTTTTGTTTTGATTACTGCTGTATCCCCAATGCCTAGACAATGTCTGGCACACAATAGGTGCTCAATAAATGTTTGTTGCTGAATAAAAAGATACGACATACAAAGCAATGCCTAAGATACCCTAAACTTAGTAAATGGCAGCTGTCATTATTGTTACTGTTGTCACTGCCATCCCTTCTGGCTCTCTGGAACCCTTTCCCTGGGCCTGGTTCAGAATTCAGGACAAGGCCTTTCTGGGCTTAGCTGCTGGGCCTCAATGCTCCCAGGAGCTCCAGGAATACGAGATGCCCCCTCAGGGTCTCTCCCTAACTTGTAGATGGCAAGAGAAATGGAGAAGTGGAATGGTCCCAAATGGTCTTCCTGGATGGAGAAATGAGGAAGTGAGAGGCTTGCTGACAGGCCAGTTATGAGCCACCCTGATCAGGGAA